CGAAACATGCTTTCGCTTTGTAGATCCTTTGGCAGCTCCAGAACTGGAAACTCTTTTTGACATAATCGAAAATTCAAGCTTAATTTTTATAAAATTGTTCAAACAATCTGCAAAAAATAATAAGCCGGATCCAATTAGAAGATTAAGGAACAGCGCAATCTGAAACATTAACTGAAATGCCTTAGAATCAGTAAAGATAATTTTAGCCTAGTTTATACCGTCCGTTATACATTAAACGCGAATGTGTAAAGCACAAAAAAAAAGTTTGTGGCTTTGAGGTCCGGATTATAGATCATTTCTGATAATGGACGTCCGGATTATGGACTTTGTACTGTAGTAATATTATTAGTGCTTCTAGACTTAAGAGAAGCCGCTATGTCTTATTCTTTAGTGAGGAAGCAAAAATTCTGGTAGTAGGTTTCGCATCATTGTATTAACAATATATGAAGTTATAAAGTATATTTTAACATAACTAATTATTATTTGATAAAATCTTATTGTGCCAGATTATCAATTAAACTTTAGTAAATTTATATATGTTACATGACTATGCGGTTCTACTTAGCATTCACTTTTATTCACAGTTTCATGTATCTATGGTATGCCTTAGAATGACTTATACATGGATATAGGCATACTACTTCATACTTTTTTATATTTATTTATTTTTTACTCAAAAACATTTAGTGCTTTTCTGAGGTGATGTAGCCGATGGGAAAGTATCAAAAAATCTTTCTGATTATGAAAAATAGTAATTTACAGTTACTTACAGTTTAAATGTCACAAAAAAAAAAAAAAAAAAGCTCTAATAAAAATATATATATATATATATTTTTACATACTTTTGCATATATATGTAGCTTACAGATTAAATATAATTTAAAAGCAGATTGAGATAATTCCATTTATCTTAATAACTGAATTTGAATTACTAGATTTTTATTTATATAAATATTTGAAGAATTATAGTGATGCAACTATGTCTAAACAATTTGCTAACAAGAATAACATATGATCATTTTCTAACTGATTTTGAATTCTGCACAATTATAGAGAACCTTAAAGTAAATATATATAAAGAGATCTCCCCCAAAAAAGTGAGAAAATTAAAGATAAAGTTCTAAACATCATTTATGTTATTTAAATTCGCTTTTCCTCAGTGACGGTTAATAACATAATATTGTCGTACCACACAAATTTACTAATTCCAAGTACTGATATTGAAAACATATTACTGTCAGCATTTGGTTTAACCCATGGTTTTAATATTTTAATGCTATTTTTTAAAGAAAATTAATTCATGAAAACTGTGAACATGAGGAAATAAAATATGCAGCATTATAAAAATTTTATATTGAAAGCAACACTGAATGCTTCTCAACTATTTACCACATTACACATTCTCAACTATACACACACTATTTTTCCTACTCGCACAATTTGTCTTCTAGATTTAAAGACTTCCAAGTTAGGTAACAATATAAATTGTTTGCACAAATAAGAAAGTATATTGTGTAAGTATAAAAAACACTACTGAAATTTATAAGTCCTTTCATACATAATATAATAATATTAGTGTGCCATTATGTGTGTTTTTAATGCATTATGCTTATCATTTAAGCCATCTCGCCATAAACAGTGTTTTTCCCTCCTGGTTTTCAAGCATCAAAATTAGTAGGAAAAGGGGGAAAATATGCAAGCAAATATGATATAACAGTACTTATACATTCTCCTATCAACCATGAACGTTAACTATCATTAAACCAAATCCTGCCATAGCTGCACTAATCATACCAGCAGAATTCAGAAGAAAATGAAGCCTTTTATTTAATAAACAGTCAGTATTCGACCCACTTTTTTTTTTCGTGCAATTCTTTAAGAATAACTTTGTTGATTTCTACTATTTTGTTAGGCCCTCCTATTTTACTTATATTTATTTCTTTGAAGCTCTGTTTAAAATTCTATGAGTACAAATTTTATGGAGGAAACTGTACTAATCTATTACAGTACAAAGTCTTTAATCCGGACCTCAAAGCTACAAACTTTCTGTGCATGCACATATGCGTTTACGCTTGTGCATAATACCTTTACGCATGCGCATTTTATGTATAACGGATGATATAAGCTAGGTTAAAATTATCTAATTATCTATTTCAGTTAATGTTGCAGATTGCACTGTTCCTTAATCTTCTAATTGGATCCTGCTTATTATTTTTTGCAGTCTGTCAGAGCAATTTTATAAAAAGTAAACTTGGACTTTCGATTACGTCAAAAAGAATTTCCGATTCTAGAGCTGCCAAAGGATCTACAAAGCGAAAGCCTGTTTCGATGTGCCATCAAACAAAAAGTGGAATTGCTGCATAAAATAGGATAAAGGCATATCCTTTGTTTCTCTAACCATTCCGAAATCTTGTTTATCAATTTCATGCTGCTCTGCCGGGGAGAGGGGGGAAACGTCGCGGCGTGCAATGAACTTGGAAGTTGATCTGTCAGCCACTATCCTGATCTTCAGAGCAGATGATTTTATTTTATTCGGCTTATAATTGCTTACTAAATGTAGTATTTCATCTTGATGTACTCCGTCTATGATGTGATTTAAATCAAATTCCTCCTCATTATAAATATCCCGAATACACATCAAATAGTTTTCTGGTTGCAATTTTCTAATTTCAACTATGCGTAATGTATGCTTTATGCATGCGCACGTTGAAAGAAATGTTTAATATAGTAAACATATAAATATTAAGCTTTTTTTTTATAAATATTGATACCCTTTAGATCATAATTGCTCTTTATTTCATAAATTACGGTTTCATATTTTTAATTTTATAATTTCTGCATGCCATTTTACTAGATTTAAATTGATGATCTATAATCCGGAAGAACCCCTAATCCAGAATCACCGAAGTCCCGGCGAGTACGGATTAAAGACTGTACTATATTGTTGGCCATATACATCTAATTATATTAAGTCCATAAATATACTTTTTTCTAATGGTCGGATCCTATAATTTTGAAAATAATCCTCTGCTTTCTGCTCTGTAGAAAACAGACCCAAAATTTTAATAATTTTTTTCCTCAAAATGCAAAAAAATACAGTAGAATAGCAGTTAATTTATAACCTTGTTATAAGAACAAAAAGCAGATTGTTGAGAAATCAGTCAGGCATTGCATCAAGCAAAAGTGCAGATGTTAAGAGTATCAAGTAACGTCATGCTTATCCATAATTGGTACTGAATCACACTGCTTAGCAACAATTTTATGGTTAGTGGAATAATATATAAGTATCAGTATAACTTATTCATCCTTAACACATTTATATAAATTGTACTGTTGGCCAGACTTTGTATAAGTGATGATTTATCAAATATTTATTCAGGTTATGTTGGTGAAATATAAAAATATAATGAAAAATAAGATTTGCTTAATACTGTAAATAACATAAGCGATTTTTATGGAAGTTAAAAATACCTGAAATTTTTATGAGAGGTTATTTTTGTGGAAAATTTCAATAGTGATAAACTATTTTTTCAATTTGCCCAATGCCAACATTTTATGCTTTAAAAATTATGGGAAGTGAAATAAAACAAAATAAATGAAAAAGTGATTTCTGTATAAAATTTTTCTAATAAATATTCTTTTTTTTTTTTTTTTTTTTTTTTTTTGCTTTAAGCTTTAAATACTTACAATAGGAATTGGGGAATAAGCAGTAATGTAATAAAGTCGATCATTACTTATTAAAGGCAGTAACAAGGTGCACAAGATAAAAGTTTGTTTGAAGCCATTTTGAATGTGATTATCAGAAAATATACAATTATAATAATAATAACAGGTTTCTTCATTAAACAGGTTATTATAATCTTTGCACAATGTCAGCAAGAATAATCAACAAGTACCAAAAATTGAGACTCTCCTAAGCCAAACTCAGTATTACTAAAAAAATTTTCTTTTAAAATTAAAAAAAGTATTAGAAACGTGAATAAAAATTTAAACTGACATAAGACATTATTTATTAAATATATGCTACATTTGAATACTTTTACTTTAAAATAATTTTATTATTTGAACAGTTTTTTTTAATCAGTTGTAAATAACTTTGCTGAAAAGTAAAATATAATAAAAAATTTAAACATTGTTTTTTGTCTATAACTTTTGCATACTCTTTTTTTCATACTGTTTCCTTAAAAATATTAGAAAATCTTCCAAGAAAGCATGCTTCCCCATAAGCAGACAGCCCTCATATGTTTTGTCATATTTAATGAAACATTTAATCAACACTTAAAAATAAAATTCCATAAATATTCTTTCAATATAAAATAATATTAAAAGTATATTAAAAGACATGGAAAAAGACATTGACGGAAGCAGAATTTGATGCAAGAACTTCCACATAGCGTATCTAGGCAGTACCACAAGGCTAGAGGTGCTCCATAAAGAAAGAGAATTTAAATAACACAAATGTTCAAAACAGAAGAGAAACATGGGAAAATGAACCATAAAAATATCAAAGCAATAACTTGTGTTTGGCATAGATTTAGTCAATTTGATGTCAAACACAAGGCTGTTGTTTTGCTAATTTTATGACACACAAATGCTACTTATAATTTTATCTTTGATTTTTTTAGACAAAGAGAAGAGGTGCTCTCTCTTTTCATATGCATATTTATTTTAAAGTCTGTCTACACTATGCAGAATTTGGGTGCAACCAGTTATACAAAGATCCTTTGTAAGTAGTGTAAGAATAAATCATTCTTTCTATTGTACAATGAAGTCATTTTGATATAGGCTTTCTTCATCTGCTCTTAATGGGAATAGCGATTTTTTAAGTTCAAAATGATTAATTTCATTTGCTTACCCTTTAGTGAATATTACACTTTTACTTTAAAATTTCTAAAACAATATTTAAACAAAAATTTCAGATGTGTTTTTCTTATTTCAGAATTATATAGCATTTTAAAAATTTACTTGCAGTTTTTACATAATTTGACCATAAAACTTACAAATCTATATCCTCTTCAGTCACATTTAGAATTTCCTCATGGACAAATTTATCTCCTTTTAAAATGGTAGCCAGCAATTCTATAACTTCACTTCGTTTAATGTCAAATATACGTTGATGCTTGAAAGTCAGTCTTCCTTTAGCAAGTCTAATACAAAAAAATAACAAAAAATTGGAAAAAAGATTTCATTTAACTACATTTTTACTTATGCATTTTAAATATACTTTATTATGGATGTCTGAATAACATCTGTTTAAAATTTTAACATTCATCATATTATGTTTTGCAAAATATTCATAAACTGCATTTTAAACCCCTTTTAAACCGATTTAGAAGTCAAATCCATTTACAATGAACTTATTATAACTAATTCCATTTAGTGACTTTAATTTAAAATCAGTGTAAAATTTATTTTTTATTTTCTATTATAAACTATTTCTTAAGCCCTCATCTTAAAAAAGGGGGAAAAGAAGTAAACATTTTCTTTATTCTGCAGTGCAAGAACTGGTCTGCACTGCAGGATGTCTATTTATAGATCAATGACAAATACAGTCAAAAGTCTTTAATCCGGACTCTTCGGGACTTCGGTGATTCCGGATTATCAATTTTTCTGGATTATAGATCATCAGTTTAAATCTGGTAAGATGGCATGCAGAAATTATAAAATTAAAAATATGAAACCGTAATTTATAAAATAATGGGCAATTATGATCTAAAGGGGTATCAAAATTTACAAAAAAAGAAAGCTTAATATTTATTTGTTTACTTTAAACATTTCTTCAACGTGCGCATGCGTAAAGCATACCTTACGCATAGCCGAAATTAGAAAAATTGTAACCAGAAAACTATTTGATTTGTATTCGTGATATTTATAATGACGAGGAATTTGATTAAATCATATCAAAGACGGAGTAAAAATTCATCGAAATTAAATACTACATTTAGTAAGGAATTATAAGCCGAATAAAATAAAAACATCTGCTCTGAAGATAACGATAGTGCTGACAGACCAACTTCCAGTTCATTGTGCGCCGCAAGTCCCCCCCCCGCGCAGAGCAGCGTGAAATTGATAAACAGATTTCGGAACGGTTAGATAAACAAAGGATATGCCTTTATCCATTTTTTGTAGCAATTCGTTTTTTGTTTGATGGACATCGAAGCATACTTTCGTTTTCTAGATCCTTTGGGAGCTCCAGCATCGGAAATTCTATTTGACATAATCGAAAGTTCAAGCTTACTTTTATAAAATTGCTCTTACAGTCTGCAAAAAATAATAAGCCGGATCCAATTCGAAGATTAAGGAACAACGCAATCATCAACATTAAGTGAAATAGATAATTAGATAATTTTAGCTTATACCATCTGTTATACATTAAACGCGCACGCGAAAACGTCGCAGATGCATATGCGCAGTCGTAAATGTCTTGCACACGCGAAAAACGCCTATGCGCATGTGTGAACGCGGCGCATGCGCAGAAAGCTTTTTAGCTTTGAGGTCCGGATTATGGGTGTCCGAATTAACGACTTTTGACTGTACTACTATTAAATAATATTTCTCCTTGACTCTTTTCCATTCATAATTTTATAGAAAGGTAATGGAGATTATTTAAGTTATCATTCTTCACAAACAGAGGCACACTTACATGCTCTTATAGGAGACACATAATTTTAACACCAAATGGTTTTCTGTTCTCACTCATAAGAAAATCTGGTACTTTTTAGTTTTCCAGCACATCGCCAAATATATCTATCATAAATGTTTCTGTTTCTCCAAGCTTTTGGAAACCCTAGAAGCTGTTCTGGATGCTTCTACAAAGATGAAACTTTTCTTTCTTTAATAATGTTACTTTTAATGAAATATGGGGATCTTTTTTTACTTTAACACGAACTTTCATCCCAAGATTGTACACATGCAAATAATGAAGCACAGTGTCAATCTCAGTAAACTGGAAGAATGCGGAATAATGTAATGCAGCTCACCATCACATTACTCCCAACAACAAGCTGCAGAGGACTGCAGTTTGTTTGAAGCCATTTTGAATGTGATTGCCAAACAATACATACTAAAAATCAAAAAACCAGATTTCATCATTAAAACATGTCAATACATTGTTTGCAGTGTGTCAGAAAGAATCAACAAGTACAAAATATTGAGACTCTCATAAGACACAGTAAGCACTGATAAAGTCAAAAGGATTTTTAATGTGTAAAAAATTGTATTTTTAAACAAAAAAAATAATAACAAATATTGAAAATTTAATTTTTTGCTTGCAATCAAAACAAAAAAGCAAAATTTGGCTCATAATCAGATAGTTAAGAAATTAAAAAATTTAGAAAATATAAGATATGTTTCTAAATTTTAATTAATTTTTCTTGTTTCTGAAGTAAATTTCTTTGTAACAAATTTGCTGATAGAATGAAATTTTAATGCTAGCTTTACCATTTAATTAAAAATTTTGTGTGGATACCACATGACTTCCTTGTACAGCCTATTAATTTATACACATTTCTTGCTGCACTTCATTTAAACTTATTTCCTGGAATTTCATTAAAATTATCATCATTCATTCATATATTTCGTATTCAATCAATTCAGTTCTCACTTTGTGGCAAGAAACAATACATAAAAGCTAAAAATATGTTCATTAAAAATTATAAATACAGAAAAAACTAAAACACAAATACAGTTAAAACAAAACAATGAGATACATTCCAATGACCTCAGAGATCACTTGACTTATGTAACAGCTAATTTAACCCCTTAACTGCCGCGGGCGTATATATACGCCTTGCTCAGCCGATGCATTAACTGCCCCAGGCGTATATATACGTCCTTCCAAACTGCTATCATTTGCTTTGGGCTGCTACACCTAAAATTATTCGCAAAGTTAACGCATCGGCTGCGCATCTGGGGGGGGGCAGTTAACGCATCGGCTGAGCAAGGCGTATATATACGCCCGCGGCAGTTAAGGGGTTAAACAAAATATGTAGATGACCTCAGAAATCATGCAACATATATATAGCTAATGTAAATGACAGGTATTTCTCCCTCTTCTTTTCTTGAAGAATGTATCTCATTTTCATAAATAAAATTATGTATACAAAAGTGTACATAATTTTGTATACAAAAAAAGCAATTTGTTTGTATACATAACATAATAAGCAATTTATTTGTATACATAATTTTACAATAGCACAATAAGCACAATTTACATAATTTTAAATAATACATGATTTTTTTAATAATAATTATACAATAGCAAATTTAATACAATAAGCAATTTGTTTATATATGTAATTTTGTATACAAAAACAAGCAATTCACATAACGGACAGGAAGGCAAAATTTTTGGTGCACAAAATTGAAAAGTTAACTGGGTTCCACTGGGCCAAAGGACATTGAAATTTGTTTACCAACTGACTTAACTCACTATTTGACTAAGAGTTTCAAATGTAAACAGATGGCAGTCTCGTTAGGCTTAGCTCAACTTAAACTTTTAAACTGTTGGTAATTCTACAACTATTACATGCAGATTAACTCAAGACATAAAACCTTAACTGGAACACAAAAACAACATAATTCAATCACTTTTAAATCAAAAAATGCAGAACTTACCAACATAGGAAAAAACTTAGCCCACCGAATTGGGTAACAAAGTCGGTCTGTATGCATGTATATACACACATATTTGGTGTGACAAATTGCAACAAGAAGGGGAGGTAGACAACTACATATTATAGAAATCCTATGTGTAAAATTTGAACGTTCCATGGCTAATTTTTTTTTAGTTATATGAGATAGATACATATGTACATATGTAAAAATGTCATGAAAATATCTCTCCTGAATTTATTTTAAATCCATTTCCCAATCTGTTTTGGAAAAGAGAGTCCTATATTCATTCCATACCTACAGATGTCATGCAAAAAAATCATTCAAATGGATTCAGGAGCAGTCAAAATAGATAATGTTGAAATAAGACACCCAAATTATTTTATGATAAGAATACTTATTTTACTTTGTACAAGAAAGTAAAAATAGGTTTAAGGATATCCGATTTTTAAAAATATGTACAACGGAAAACCACTGCATTTACTTCGTGCTAATCAAGTTGTTTTATACTACAGATACAACAAAAAAATTCAAATAAAAAAATGTACGTACATTAATATAAAATTAAGTTTCCCTCATCAGGTACACTGCGCAAAAAAAAAAAAAGGGAGGACAGTTCTGTATCTCTTGTTCTACTGGGCCGATTGACGAAATTCAACTTGAGTGTTTCGTGTCTCAAAGGCACGACTTAGGATATATATTACATTTATATACAACATTGTTTTAATATAGGTTATTTTGACACAAAATCGGACTTTTTCTGAAGTGACATACCAATTTTTTCCATATTTCAATTCTACGACTCAAATTATGGCAGATTGTTAAGTTTTGTAAAAACTGCATGAATAGTTTTTTAAAAATTAGCTCTCAAAGTTTTAGATCCTCCATGTTATTTTAATTTCGTATATATTTATTAATATTTCTTTTCATATTAAACTTTTTTGATTCTTCCTTTCCCATTTTGAAATTTAGTTTCATTCCAAATAAAATTCAAGTTTCAAATAAAATTCACCCAAGTTTTATGATTTGTTTTTAAAATTTGCATTTTAAAATAATTTTCATAATTTTTTTTTAAAAAATTTTGAATTATAACCTGTAAAATTTTTACCATCATCTTAAAGTAGATGTATTTCTAAGCATACCTGCCAAAAAATTAGAGTTTTTTATTTAAAATTTCTTAAGTTACACATGAATTTACATATTAGCGCATTTTGAAATTTGCATATATGTTTTAAGCGATAATAATGTCAAATGTGGTTTAAGCACTTTTTTAAAACTATTTAAAAGTATGAATGATAACTTTTTCCACTCGTTACAATGAAAAAAGAGAAAGAGAAAAAAAGGTTGTTATAAATTAAGAAGTTCACCAAGTGAATTATTCTTGGCACAAATTGAAAAAAAATATGCTAAGAAAATTTTTTTAATTTCTCTGTAAAATTTACATCAAATTTCACAAAATTTAATATCTAGGCATAATTTGAGATGTAGAATTGAAAATATGGAAAAAAATTGGCATGTCATTTCAGAAAAAGTCCGATTTTGTGTTAAAATACCTATACTAGAAGAACGCTATATATAAATCTAATATATACATCCTAAGTCGCGCTTTTGAGACATGAAAAACACAATTTGAATTTCTTCAATCAGCCCAGAGCTGGAGATATAGAACTGCCCCCCTTTTTTTTAACACAGTGTACATTTATAGCAAATACTGTGTGAAAAAGAAGAAAAAATTCTCAATATACCCATGAGCATACACAATATGCTTTTATTTTATATATGATAATTATTAAGAAAAGTCTATTTCACATATTATATGATAATTAAAAAGCTTAACATTAAAATTGTTTTGGACATCATTTGCTTTACATATAATAATAATAATATTTTTATTTATTTATTTAGCAACTGTCTTGCCATGTACATAACACCTGAAAATGTAAAATCTCCTTATATACAGGATATATATGTGGCATATTTATACATGGCACATATATATGTGCCTATAAATACATCCTTAAAATAGTACACAAAAGCAATTTTAAAACCGTAAACTTCAAATAAGTGCAATACCTAATTAATGTGCAAACATATTTAGTACGAAATTAAAAAATTGTATTTTGTATGTACATACTTATTTGAATGCCTCATACAGTTAATCTTCTTAGAAAATTTGTTTTTAATTTCTTCCATTTTACACTGTTCCAATAAGATTTCTTTTCCCAAAGATTTTAGTTCTTTTTTGAGTATTATTTTTTTGTCTACAATAAAAGCAAAATTCCTTTGAATTCGTGTAAGTTCAGGCATATTTTCTCTATATTCCCTACTCATCCAGAAAACCTCTTGTTCAAGTCTAGACTTTGTCAAATTATAGTTGTATCTGTACTTTTCTAATTCTGTTGCAAGCATCTGAAAAAATTAGGATTTTTTTAATGTAATTTATTATTCTGAAAGCATAAAAAATTAGAATTCTGTAAATAATCCATTGAGTTTCCTTATAGCTCATTAAAAAATCTTTTTTAAAAAGGAAAGATTTAAACTTAATATATATATAAAAACAGGATTGCAAAAAAGGAGTAAAAATATTTGGCCGTATTACAAATAAAAATTATACTATCTTTGTATTATATATATATATTTTAAGTTTTGAGAGAGTTTTTATTTGTGGATTTAGTTTCTGTTTATTTCTCTTCACTGCATTAGAAATGCCCTATGTATTTTAAAAATTCTGGAACAGTACAAGCACTCGACTTTCATGCATCCTTCATGTAATCTGGCACCTAGCCAATTCTTAGAGTAGTAATGGTGAACATATGACATGCGTGTTATTTATAACACATGAGCCCATTTTGGGTGACACACATCAAGTATTTCCAGAGCTGTCAGAGGAGACAAAAAATTGCTTATACAACATTTACAAAAATTTGTCTCTTGCAACACCCTCGTCATTGTCAACATGAAAATTGTAGCTTTTACCTTAGGTGCATTCTTGGCAGACAAATGATTCTATATGTGACATGGCATTACAGTTAAGCTACGGTTTTTCCAAATTTTGACACGCTAAGTTCAAAAGGTTCCCCATCACCGTCGTAAAGTGTTTATTTTATGGTCCATAAGCCCTTTATCTTTCAAGCTGTAACTGTCACTTTCAAACTGAAACAATTATGAACTGAGAAATTCAGGAATAATAAACATATTTCTTAAAAATTTATACTTTTCTTTTGAATTCTTCACTATATTCGATTGATATAATTTTTATAACATATTTAATTTATAATCAATCCAATTATAATATTCATGAATATTTTTCAGCATTGCTATAGTTAATAAAAAAATTTCTAACTTGAATATTTTATGCCTCTTTAAGATTGTTTGGTATTATATACTTATCATGCAATTAAACATTATTCAGAATTTTGCAAAGCCGTTAAATTTTGATATTCTCATAAGAATATTTTTTTGTCCTTTAAAGATACAATTTTATGAAATGAACTGATCGTGAATTTTGTGCAACTCATTGATGATTTTTTCATAAGATTTAAGTGATATTTATGTACAAATAAGTAATAGCATGAAAAATTCCATTCCACAATATAAATTACAAGTTTAAACAATGTAGAAGTATTAATTTTACAAATAACAATCTTTTACTCTAACCAGATTCAAATCACTGATAGATTTTTGCTTTTCTGAAAGCTTAATAAAAACTAATATACAGTTTAAAAAAAAGATTTATATACGGAAATTTTTACATTAGATGTATTTTAAGAAGATGGAAAATTATACAAGATAATTAACATGTGTGCTTGAGCAAAAATGTATCAAAGACAATAAATTTGGGTACGAGAAGATGCATTTCTTTTAACTGTATTTTATGTAAAAGAACTTTAAATAAATACCAGTATATATTATTTATTTGATCATTCAGTTATTAATGATTTCCAAATATGCAGTGATACTTTTTTTTATAAATATCATTAAAGCATAAATGGAACTAAGTTATGTTGATTTTTATTCTCCCATTCTTCATTTTTAAATTTAAAAGAAAATGTCATTGTAGATATGGCATATATTATAATTCCTGAAAATTTTATAAAAAAAAAATCCTCCATTCAGATGCTAAATAAACACTTCCTTCAATAACAGTGACATAACATTTAACATATGGTAAGTACTTAATGTGCTTAATGTATTTACAGTGTATCAAATACTTGTTCATTGTATATTTCTATATAAAAATATTTACTTACTATCAAATCATCAAATGCTTTTTGCCACAGAATACTCATTTCTTTTTGATCAACCAGGAAAGTATCTCGTACATCTTTAGAAGAAAGAGTATAAGCACTTCCACACCATAATTCCATCACAAGTGGCTTAAACATGGAGGGATTTTTTAATATAGAATGATTAAAGCATTTAAAAATAAAATTTATTAATGTAAAGTTAATTCTTATAAAAAATTATGACTTAAAAATTTTATTTGTGTATAAAAATTATATTTAAAACAATGATTGCAAGCAAAACACATCTCATTAAATATTCAGAATAATTCAAATAAGTAAACTCATTAAACATAAACATAAAATAAAACTTTTAACATTTTAATTCTGCTTGGAAACTCAGATATCAGCAGTGTTGTAAGACCTAAAAGGCATAAATTAGGAAAAAGAAATTTAATACCTTTTTTTGCTTTTCTTCATATAAATCATCAACTCTTTTTGACCATGATGAACCTAAATCAAACATGCATGTTGCAATATGTTCCTGAAAAATATAATACTTGATTTCAAATATTTTGAAATAATACTAGGAATTTGATGTTTTCATAAATAGATATTTAGAATGAAAAAAAAAGTATTAAAATCTATCTGAATGTATACAATTATTTTCAGGGATCTCATGAGCCAAAGCCTTTGGGAATTTATATTAAAAATAATTATATACATTAATGGAATCTTTACAATTTTAGACACAATGGAACCTCACTAAGTTGAATGAAATAGCACAAAGTGAACTATTTATTAAATGTAAAGGTCCCCTCCTCCCCAAAAAAAGCTTTAAAGAATTTAATTAAAAATTTTAAATAATAACAATACATTTTTCTACTTATTTGTTACTTTTAATATAAAAAATAATAATGTAATACAGCACCATTAACTGATAAATGTGATGTCACCTTGGTTTCAAATAACCTTGATTGAGCTTTAATAATAAGCCTATCCTCAATTTATCTGTTAAATATAAACTAGATAAAGAATGATTTGTTTCTGGCAGATTTCTGCTAGAATGAATTAGTTTTAGCTAATATTAAATTATGTTTTTTGTGCTACATCTGTAAATTTTATCTGCTTTTTTACCTTACTAAATAAAAAGAGTTTTTTCCTTTACACTTGCACTGGAATGATTGATGCGAGTTTGGTCGAGACCTACACAAATTTTCATGGTCAGAGAAAAAAAATATGTAAGTGAATTAATTTATTATTATTTTGCACTGAAGTTAAATTACTTCACAGTGCATAGGTATTTCAAAGTCGTTTCTGTTTCATTTTGCCTTTTGAGAAAACAAGAATTAAGTCTACATCTTGTAGAGCTTCTCAGTCACTTGCAATGTTAGTGTTTCTTCCTCATTAAGGATATATGAACATTCAGAAGTTTGTAAAAGGCTTCAAATTTATTATTCACTTATTCCTGCAATAGGGAAGTCATTATCAACTGACTAAATTCTGAATCTTCATTTTCTAAATTAATACCAGCCATTTTCTCTTCCTGGAAAATGCAGGTTAAGAGATTTTATTTAGCTTTTTTGATTATGTCAAAGCACCTGAGGGTTATCTGCCTAAGAGGAGGGATGCCTTCATGAAGGACTTTCTAAGGAAAACTGGCTCATATATGACTTTACTGCTCGGCCACTGGTGTGCAAGATTTTATTGAGAGAAAGACAATAGATTAGGATGTCCTCAACATTTTTTTTTTTTTTTTTTTTTTTTTTTCTGAATCAAGCTCACAGATGGCCCTACAAATCAATTAAGAACTTGATACTTTGATAACAGGTTGTCTATAAATGAGTTGATTTTCCAGACATCTTTCTTCTTGCTGTAAAACAATTTATTGATTATGATTTGACATTCATAGATAGTCTGAGTTTCTTAAAGTCTTTTTTAACTTCAGCTATCTTTATGTTTATATATGGTGAAAATAGCAAATTCCACAATCCAAACTAACAGCATATTTGTGGAAAGATTCTTTTGCAAGTCAAATTATTTGTACAGATGCAAATTTGTACAAATTTGGAAGTAATCTTAGAATAAATCTATCTTTTAAATATTTTCTTTAATCCAGGAAGCAGGCTAATAGATCAGTAGTTCTTTGTCCAGTTTAAATCCTTATTAGGTTTATTAAATCAGAATAATCATTAGATTTTTCATACTTGTAAAAATACACATGCTGAAACATACATTAAAATACCCATAAATTTAGCAAAAGAATTCATATTTCAGTTCTTCATTTTATTAAGATACATTATCTAAGCTAGGAGTCTTTCTATTAAAAAGTTTCTAAAATTCAGACAAAGGCAGGATTAAATGCAGTAGCAGGAGTTACAAGCCGTCTTCTCAATCCTACCACTATAACAAAATTTTCAATTTCCTCAACAATAAGCATATCTCAGGCTGTAAGAATGGGCATGTTGCAAATCTTTCAGTATTTCTTACTCTTATTAAAAGATGAGAGAGATTTACCTTCAAAATTTAAACTATCAACTTCTTCATTACACAGCTACTACATGTTCTCACTTTGGTCCTTAATGTGTCTATTCAATGAGTAAATAAGATTTTCGACATTAGCATCACAGGATATTTTTTTTTTTTTTTTTTTTTTTTTTTTTTTTTTTTTTTTTGCAACTTATGCTTGAAAATACTGTAGTTAGGGAAAATAAACCTTATTGCATGTAACAGAACAAATTTCAGCAAACTGATGTTATTAAACTGGAAATCTTGCAATTCATCAATTTTATTGCATGACAGCATTTCAAAGCATGACAACAGTAAGGAAAGTCTTATTTGTTGCTTTGCTAGCCACTATAGTTAAATCATGAATTTTTTGCAGAAACTGATACTGATGTATAATTTTAAGATGAATTCTTTTGTTATTAAAAAAGTTAACGATATTTTGAAGACTAATCAACAACTCTTAGTTTTTATTACTTTTTTACTCTGTTGTATAATGTGATTGCAACTGGCACAAGTAAACTGTGATTCTTTAGGATTGGGGCAGCTCTAGATTCATGAGGCTTGGCACAACTAATGCATCATAGGCAGATGTCAGCAGCTAGCCTAAACATGATGGTATGTTTTTGACATTTAAAGCACTGTATAGCCTATGTTTACCTTTATAGGTCTATATCTTTATTTTGAGATGCACGAGGCAATAAAAATTTTAAAAAAAGAATTGTGATTTATCAGATTTGGTAAGAGTGATAAGGAAAAACACAAGATCTGCTTTCAGTCCTTCTCATGACTAACCAGTTCCTCAGCTTTTCAATTGCAAAGCCTTCAAAGCATGAAATCATTACAAATTTATTCATTGTTAGTTTCCACAGGCAGGCTTCTGAATACAATCTAAAATATCTTATTTTCAGGGACCATGAATGCTAGAAATTTAATACTTCTGCTGTCAGAAAGGAACAATGATAACTCTTTGGGTATCTGAGGTATTAAATTCAATAATACAATGATTTTTAACATCAATTTTATCCATAAAATAATTTATTTGGGTGCTCCCAAATAATTCTTTTATATCATAGCACTTGCAGTTAGTTATCAATAAAATTCTTTTAGATCATTTCACTTATTATATGTGTTTTAGGGTGTAATGTGACAGGCCTCCTCATAGTGCACCCTGGTTAAAGCTAAATTTATCACAGCGTTGCCTTGCTTCCTTGTTCTTTTGAGCATTTGGATTGCATTACATTATGGCAAAGAACGGGCTGCGAATCTTGCAGTGGAATGTTGGTGGCCTTTCCAGAATAAGAACACTTAGATTATGAATGTCACTCATTCTCAAGATATTGACTTATTTTTCATTGTCAGAGCTAACCTGTCCTTAGATGATTTATGTACGTAGCATATTCGGAAACTAAATACCGTTTCATTCTAGCGCCATCACAGAGCTGTGGTAGGTGTCCTGCGCATGCGCACTAGTCTTTCTTGTTCACTGACTTTCAATTGTCGCCATTTTGGTTGCTCTATGTTGTGTTTTCAGTTTGCTGTTCTCATACAAAATGTTTAAGACAATTAGTTCTTAAGCTGACTGTGAGATTTGTACCGTGATTAAATTTTTGAACACGAGGAATGTTAAACCGGCCGAAATTTATCGTCAAGTGACAGAAGTTTACGGTGAATACACGATAAGTGATGGAATGGTGAGAAAGTGGGTAAGAATGTTTAATGCAGGTCGAACAAATGTCCACGCCGAGGCTCGGAATGGTCGGCCTTCTGTTTTCACCGATGATTTTGTAAGGAAAGTTGATGAAGCAATTCATGAGAACAGATGCTTCACAATGACAACTCTTTCAGAGGCATTTCCACAAATTTCACGTACTGTTTTGTTCGAAATTGTGTCTGACTGCTTGAATTATCGCAAACTGTGTTCCCGATGGGTTCCAAAAATGCTCACTGATGTTCACAAAACAAAGCGACTTGGCAGTGCCCTGACATTTCTCACGCGGTACAGTGATGAGGGAGAAAACTTTTTAAACCAAATTGTGACAGGTGATGAAACTTGGGTGTGTCATTTCACACCAGAATCGAAACAACAATCGATGGAGTGGAGACACACTCATTCTCCAAAAAAACAAAAGTTCAAAGTGACAATGTCATCACAAAAAATCATGTGCACTGTCTTCTGGGATAGGAAAGGCATTTTGCTTACTTAATTTCTTCCCAGAGGTGAAACCATTAATGCGGCACGATATTGTGAGACTTTAACAAAACTAAGGCGTGCCATTCAAAAACAAACGAAGAGGAATGCTCAGTAAAGGAATTGTGTTGCTCCATGACAATGCTCGGCCCCATACTGCTGGTGTCACTCAATCGTTAATTCAACAGTTTCATTGGGAGCAGTTCTATCACCCGCTGTATAGCCCGGACTTGGCGCCAACCGACTATCACTTGTTCCTGCACATGAAGCGCGAGCTTGGGTGGCAAGCGCTTTGGATCTGACGATGACACGAAAAATTCTGTGGAGTTGTGGTTATTGAAACTGGCGGAAAGTTTCTTTGATGATGGTACACAAAAACTGGTCACCCGCTATGACAAGTGTTTGATCATTGGTGGAAACTATGTTGAAAAATTGTTTAAGACATGTATTTCGTAAAAATAAAATTGATTCGAAAAATTGTTTTATTTTTATTTATTTATTATTTATTTTTTTTCTTTTCAAAACGGTACTTAGTTTCCGAATACGCCTCATATGAGGGCATTTCGAAAAGTAAAGATACAATGGCTTGCATTCCTTAAAAAAAAAAAAAAAAAAAACATTTATTTAGAAAACATCAGTTACATCTTATTAACTGGATTATTTATTATTTTTTGACATAATCATCCCTGTTATCCAAACATTTGTTAAGTCGGTGCACAAGCTTCTGTATCCCAAAGTCATAGAAGGTTGCCGCCTGTTGGAACCCAACGCGCACACAATTTTCTGTACCCTAACTTAACAGTCACAACTTCATAAAGAGTTGTCATTGACACTTCTGGTGTGATCTG